TATATATATATATATATATATATATATATATATATATATATACAAATATATAATTATATATACAATTTATAATTGCTACAAAAATACTCATCTTTAAAGCCGTTACCATGATGATTTCCTCATCTGGGTATTAAAGTTAGACTCGTGGCTTTATTGCATACACGTCTCTAAATTAGCACATTAAAAAAATGACAAGAACTTCTAAATTTTACTCCTAGTGGTCCTACATTTTCCAAGCGATGTTTCATATTTTATTAATAAAAAGACAAAGTACTTAAGGTCCTTTGCTGCAAATTCCTTTCTATGAAAAGCTTTGGTTTATATAAAAATAACACAACATCAATGCTTTAAAGCAGAGGTCTTCAACAGGGAGTACTGCATGGGGGTCACGAAAGTTTTGGTTGATTAAAATTTTTTTTACATTCCCTCCTGTAATTTTTTTTACACTAATTGAAATGACTTTAAATCCACATTAACATGAATTCAACACACTGAAGTAAAACAGATAAATGGAGGCAGAAGATGTCTTTCACTAATCTATGCACACATTCAGTGACACACAGGAGCTCTTTCAAGCTGGGCACCGTTTCATTCACAACACCCGTCCCATCAACCAAGAATCAGAATCAGAAATACTTTAATAATCCCAGGGCAAAATTACTTTCGTTATATGACACCATCTGTAATAGAGTGACTATATACAAACTGGCCCTAATTATATATAGGGCCAGTTTGATATAACTGGTTTTCCCGCTCCATCTTGCCTTCAGTTTGGGGGTCCTTAGCCTGGAAAACGTTGAAGACCCCTGCTTTATAGAAATATTTGCAGATTTATTTTTTCACAGATGTAGAGTATTGTTTTGGTGATTTACAGCCAAAGTAGCTTGCCACTCAGCCCACTGCTGCACAGGTGGTCGCTGCTAAAACAGCAGCACCTGCAACAATTATACCAACGTTTAATATGCCAATAAATAATTCATTCCAATCAAGTCAAGCAAGTGACAGCTTAGAACAAATTTTCACTTTGTACCTGGGGAAAGTTCCAAAAAAAGTTACAAACAAACCACTGGACTTTGTTTTCCAAGTTTGAAGACGTTTCGTGTCCCATCCAGAAAGCTTCCAAAATTCAAAATGTCCAGGTTAGCGATCAGTTCCAGGCTTTAAAGAATAACCCAACAAAGCCTTGTAATGAGTTAGAAAACATGCAATTTGAACCGTAAACAGGTCCACCCCTTAGTAACGGGGAGTCGTTGATGTCAGTTTTGGCCTGCAAAAACACCAAAACTGGCCCATTCTTCTGTAACGGGGAGCCGTTAGAGGCGTTATTAGCCTGGCTTGCAGGAGCAATGTTTTGATCAGAAGCATGGTGATGAGGATTGAGATGATAGCAGGAAGGAATCAACTCTATCACTGCATTGTAGGTTTTTAGGAGCTGGAACCTGAGTCCATCCCCTTTGTTTAAGGTTGTTTTTTCTCTCTTTACGTATATGGCTTCCTTCACACCCCTTTCAAACCATCTGTCTCCTTTGTTCAAAATGTGAACATTCTGGTCCTGAAAGGAATGATCATGTCCTTAAGGTGTAGACAGACAGCCGAATCTTGTCCGGAGGAGGTAGTTAAGCCATGCGTCTGTGGGAGGTTGTTTTGTTTCTCCAGTATAAAGATCTTAGCATCCCTGACAGAACCTGGATGTCTTTACAAGCATTCCTGATGAAAGTAGAATAGCCACCAGACCTTGTGCTGCAACACAGCAAGATTTTTGATCGCAAAAAAATACATAACTAAATTTAACCCAAAAAATAAA